AAGTGGGTTTTCAAAATCAAGTACAATTCTGATGGTACCCTCGAGCGATACAAAGCTCGCTTGGTCGCCAAAGGGTTCAACTAGCGTGAAGGCATCGATTACACTGAGACCTTCGCTCCTGTTGCTAAACTTATCACTGTCCGTTGTCTCCTCACTGTTGCATCTGTCCACAATTGGCCACTTCATCAGATGGACGTGCACAATGCATTTCTTCATGGTGACCTCCATGAAGAAGTCTACATGCTTCCACCGCCCGGTTATCAAAGACAGGGGGAGCACACTGTGTGTCGTCTTCACAAATCCTTATATGGTCTTAAACAGGCGTCTCGGAGCTGGTTTCGTAAGTTTTCCTCTGCTATACAAAACATTGGCTTTTCTCAATCTAGAGCAGATTATTCTATGTTTACACAAAAACATGGTACATCCTTCACTGTTATACTGTTATATATTGATGATATGATAATCACTGGAAATGATGATGATGCCATACGAGACCTTAAACACTTTCTTGGCACTTGTTTCAAAATCAAAGACCTTAGACCTTTAAAGTATTTTCTTGGAGTTGAAATTGCACGGTCCAAGTCTGGGATTTCTTTTTGTCAACGGAAGTATACACTAGATATTTTGGAAGATGCAGGTTTACTTGGTGCTAAGCCTACAAAAATTCCTATGGAAGCCAATGTTGCACTCATGCCTACAGGGAGTAACCCTCTTAAGGATCCTACTCGCTATCGCAGACTTGTTGGCAGGCTAATATATCTTACAATAACAAGACCAGAAATCACATATGCGGTGAATGCACTAAGTCAGTTTATGCATGAACCCCGAATGCATCATTTTGAGACTGCACGTCGGCTCCTTCACTACCTCAAAGGAGCTCCTGGCCAAGGGTTGTTATTCCCTTCACACGGGCACCTCCACTTGACAGCTTACTGTGATGCAGATTGGGCACGATGTCCTTTTACAAGGCGCTCAGTTACTGGATACTGTATCTTCCTTGGCAAGTCACTCATATCATGGCAAAGCAAGAAGCAAGTCACTGTCTCAAGGTCATCTGCAGAAGCTGAGTACCGCTCTATGGCAGCCACCACTTGTGAACTCACTTGGTTGCGATATCTCTTACGAGACTTACAAGTGGAACACAACCAACCAGCCACCTTACTCTGTGACAACAAAGCAGCACTCTACATTGCAGCCAACCCAGTGTATCATGAACGGACCAAGCACATTGAATTGGATTGCCATACCGTTCGTGAGAGAATTCAAAATGGGGAAATCAAGATAGTTCATGTGCAAACCAAACACCAACTTGAGGGGGAGTGTTAAAGGAAAGAAATTGGTCAACTGTGATGATTACCTCAATCTTAGTAATTAGCTAAGATCACGGTAATTACAGCTATTGTGATTCACATACTTAGAATAGATTTCATGTTTACTTAGAATAGAACTTTCATTCTGTATAAATCTTGTACATTACGATCTCAAGGTATCAATACAATATACAGCTTTCTACATTCTTTCACTAAGGAAACAATTCAAGAAAATTAGAATATGCTAGTAATGGTAAGGAAAGCAGATTAGTGCATATCTAATTCAAAAAAAAAATTCAAAACAAAAAAAATTAAATAAATAAACAACCACTTAAGATGACGGAAACAGTAAAAGAGTAGATCCAATTCGAAATATTTTTTCCATACAACATATAAGATTTAAAAATAAAAAAATTGGATTTGACCCAAAATCCAATGGCAAGAAGATGAAAAATCAAAATCAGAGACATAAAGGAAAAAAAATTACCGACAGAGAGAGTTGGAGCAATGGTGGTGCGGCTACAAGAAGTTCTGATGCACAGACAGACCGAAGTGTGTTTATCAGGTACAAAGGGAAGAAAACAGAAAAGAAGAAGTCAGGGGCAGAGGGTTGATTGA